GGCATGTCACTGTTTTACTGACCTGTTGTTCTGCCCTGACGTAGCGTTAAATGTTACCCATGTCCAGAAAGTCCCAATAATTGGTTTCTGTTCTCTAACTTTAGTATGCCTTAACCAAATGTTTTAAAACTTACACGAAATGCTTATCACCACAAAACACAGATCAAGTTATAAATTGGGTAGCGTCACTGTTACCGTTCTTGAGTTATGCCTTTTTATAAATGAAAAAAAGCTAAAGCTGTCGTTTCTGCCTCAACCAAATGTTTTAACCATACAATATTAGTCAGCATTTGCATATAAGTAATGAACATTTCGGGGATGGGTTGTGGGTGGAGGGAAGGAAGGAGGTAATGGCAGGAGAATTTTTCCGCATTGAATATTTAGAACCATTAAGTGAATGAATTCTCTTTCAACTTTCAGATAAAATGAAATATAAATGAATTATCATTCTCTACAAAAAAAATTGTTGTATTGCTACACCACGGCACCATGTTAAGGGAGGTTTGAGTGCTCACAAACATGTTTAAGCCCGCCTCAATATATATGTGTCTGTCCCTGGTCAGGAACATGTAATATAGCGGCTGTAGTAAGTTGCTGCCTGACATATTTGTTTATGATTTTGTCATAAATCAGGCAATTTTGATACGGTATGGGTTTTGTTCATTGTGAAGTGTATAGTAACCAATAGTTGGTTAAATCTATTTCATTTGGATTTTGTTTGAAAGTCCTCTCAGTGAAAACCATTCCACGTCTCCTTTTTCAATTAATGTTATTGTCTTATTTGTAAAAGGCAGATACAGCGAATATATTAGAATAAAGAACATTAATTTTCAAAAAAAAAAACTTCATCTCTATGTAGTAAGAAATGAACAAGCTCGGTGGCTAACACTGTTTAAATTTTAAAAAATATTAACCTTAGATTAATCATTTTTGGAAAGATTGAAAGAAGAATCCGATACAAGGGATACAAATCCGGCTGTGGCTACGGCATTAACTATTTATATAAACTTTCTACTTGAGAATAAAGATGACCTTGTATGAAGTTTTTTTTTGTTGTCATCTTAATATTATATACTTAATAATACAATTCACAAAAGCTAGCATCTTCGACTTGTAAGTTTAAAGAATTATAATGAAATAACATCTAATAAGGACAGGTTGAAATACTTTTTAATCCTGATGGTGCATACTCATAAATTCTTTTGGAAAAATCCATGTAAATTTAAACGTTCATTTATTTATTTGCCCTTGTAACAGTTTTTGTTAAAATACCGAAATCGGTAAATTCTTATCGTGAACGAATAAGTCGGGTACACCTTTTTACATTAAGGCGTGCTTACGTTGCACTTTTTTCTTCTTATCAAGAACAATGATTTTAATTTTAGCATCTATCTAAAGATTAGATTATTTACACACACACAAATAGGGCTTACTGTTGATTTTGAAACTCTATGAATTCACATTTATATTCAACCAAACAGATAGGCCGAGATCCATACCTTTTTAAGTTTCAAAACAGAGAAGGTGTGTTTGAAAACAAATAATCACGTACTGCTATATCTTTTAAGGCAAATGCAAGTCTTACTTGTATTAATTATATAATTTTAATTGGCACAATATCACAATAAAATTTACTGAGAATTATTATACATATTAATCATGAAAATGTACTACTGTAACAATGAAAATTCGGACGAATACACTCCTTTTCACTACCCCTCCATCTACTCATTTAAGTTTAGGCCAAACAGCCTTAGCAACAGTCTTTTATTATTTTTTCCCTGTAATAAAAAGATTGATTGAATTTACTTAAACTAAAAAAAAAATACAATCTTATTTTCAATAAGAAACAAGAAAATTAATTCGAAACACAATTCATGATTTATTTCTCCTAATTTTCAATGAAAACAAAGTATTTCTTCACTTTTCTTTTAACAAATTATTCATTTCAGAAATTTAAAAAATAAACAATAAACAATGTTGAAGACCGTACCTTGACCTACAATGGTTTACTTTTATAAATTGTGACTTGGATGGAGAGTTGTCTCATTGGCACTCACACCACATCTTCCTATATCTATTTAATCCAGCACATTCTTTGTGTGTCTGTCCGAAGCCACGAGCCTGTAGTTTGGTGGTTGTCGTTGGTTCATCTCTATCATATTTGTTATTTTTCGTAAATTGTTTTGTTATGAGTTAGGCCGTTAGTATTCTTGTTGAATCCTTCCACAATTTTCATGTCGGGGCTTTTTATAGCCGACTGTAAGGTACGATTTTTCGTTGTTGAAGGCCAAACGATAGCATATAATTGATTACATACACTTTATTTGACTCTGGTGGATAGTTATCTTATTTGCGATCATACAACATCTCCACTGTTTATATTAAAAAAAAAAAAACAGCACAAACAAAAGATAGATGGTCGGTTTTTTTTATTGAACTTACAAAATTTCACCCTGACAACAAATAAGACAACAGTCGATAGTATTATAACGATATATGAAATCAGAATGTATTTAGGATAATATGGTTGAAAAAAACCTTTTTGTCTTTAAAAACACAAAGTCAAATAGAGGTACGCAACGACGACTTCTGAACGAAATTAACGGCATATATTTTATAATATTTGATAAGTAGTTTTTTTTGTATATTTGTAAGCCGGTAAAGCTTTGATACAGCCAAAATTTCATCACTTGATATTATCTAAACAGTGATTAATTTCATCTTTAAATTACAATATATTGCAAGAAGCCGTACAGACAAAAGTTGTTATTTTGCAATTCGCCGTACAACGTCCTGCAATTCGCCGTACAATAAACAAACAATGTTTTGGTCCATATTCTTTAAAAACATCTTTATGACAACAGATTTCAGTCAATATGATGTCACACTATCATAATCTAAAAACTTGTCTGGAAAAATAATGAAAAACAGTTGAATATCTTGCCAATGGGGCGACAGAGGACAATCGACCTCGAAATTTTCAGGTACTAAGTGGCAAGCTTTGGAGTATAACACAAAATTTTGTCTTAATTTTGTACTTATCGGCCTACTAATTTAAAGAATTATATATCAAAAAATCATTTATTAAGTCAAATCAGTAGAAATGCTTTAAATTGAATGAATTCTTACCTTGTTTACTTTTTTTTCCATTTCTCTCCGCTTCGTTAGTACCCAATTTCCGGTGGCGATGATACACAGTGATCTACAGACAGTGAGAAAGCTAAAGTTCTAGCTGAATACTTCAGTAGTGTATTTACACTAGAATCAGACAACCCAGTAGATAGTGGTAAGAGATACTGTGACAATTTCTCAAGTGATGAGCTTTTTTTGTAGTAAAGAGGTAAACAAATTACTAAAAGATCTGAATACGTCAAAACCACCGGGCCCAGATCAAGTGCACCCAAAAGTTTTATTTGAACTAGCAAATACTATTGACTCGCCACTGAGTACTATATTTAATGAAAATTTTAAGAGTGGGACAGTACCCCAAAGATGGAAAATAGGTCAAATATCATCATTATTTAAGAAAGGTGATAAAACATCCCCATCCAACTATAGACCGGTTAGTTTGACCACTGTTATTTGCAAAATAATGGAAAAACTCGTGAGACAGAGAATAGTCCAACACATGAATAGTCATAATTTATTTAGTAACAAACAATTTGGTTTTAAAAGTGGGAGATCCACCTCCCTACAACTTATAAAGGTTCTAGATAGATATACTGAAATTCTGGAAAATGGAGGAATACTACACTCAATTTATATGGACTTTGATAAGGTCCCTCACAAGCGCCTTTTACTAAAACTTAAACAGTATGGTATAAGCGACAGAACCTGTAATTGGATCCAAAGCTTCCTAAGTGATAAAAACAACGTGTAAACATTTGCGGAAATTATTCCACCTAGCATTACGTAACTACTAGGGCAAAAATGCCACACATGTGTCACGCATGTACCTAAAAACGCATGTGTCACAGGTGTGTCACATGCGTAATACACATGTTTCTTGCCACGCATGTGAATCATGCGTGGTACACATGCGTTCACATGCGTAATACACGCATGTGAATCGCATGTGTCAGAAAAACACCTGTGTCACGCATGTGTTGGAAAACGCATGTGACACATGCGATATTTGCATGTGTAACACATGTATAGTCAAACGCATGTGTAACGCATGTGTTACACAGGAAAATTTTGTTGATGTGCATTTAAGTTAAATTTTTCACATGAATTTTACGTTAAATTTTTCATGTGAAATTCACATGAAAAAAAAGTTAATTGTGTCCAAGTTGAAAAAAATTAACATCAAAATTAAAACTTGTTTATTAACATCTAATACCTTGTAAGACATATATTCCATTGAAAATCTTATTTAACTTTTAAAAAAATTATTTTCACATGAAACCCCCCTTTTTTTGAATGATCAATACATTTAAATGGGGAAACATAATTGGAACCCCCCTTTTATCCTGTGTTGGGACCTCCCCCTTTTAAAAATGGCTGGATCAGCCCCTGATTATCCTTAATTGTCACCATAATAAATGGTATTTTATCCAATCAGCTTAGGAAAATAATCGCAGTTAATAAAAGGCAAAGTAAATAAAAGTGCAATAATTGTCAGATATGGGTCCAGGATCCTTAAAAAAAAGTGAGACTAGACTTGTAAAAAGTCTCTCTCTATATATAATTCCTAAAGGGAGTAGGCCCGGGGATTCTGTGAATCATCCCCCTTCCCCCATAAAATGTTCTTCTTATTTGAACAATTAAAAGTTTAATCTTTAAACATTTATTTTAATTAAGATTTTCATTGGTATTTCTTTTAATACATATACATGTACACAGGTAAAAGAAGTATGCATTTATATTGGGAGAATTTGGTGTTAATTGCAGATCTTTTGATCTTCACCACTTTGAAAAAAAATGATTTAGAACTTGGAATATCTAGATGTGTTGTGTTGTGTTTCTGTTATTATTGTTTGAATAACTTTCTCAAAGGTGTGTTACAATAACCATACATCTCTTTTTATTCCTATATATCTGCCAACTATCTTGGACAAAAGACAGACAGATACACCCAGTAGATATATTTAAGTCTTAGGTGCTTCATACAGTTATGGAACTAAATTATAAATTTGAATATTTTATTTAGTATTTTCTTATTTGTAACCCTTGTGTTACAAAAATGACTGATTGTATGTAACATTGACATTGGGTTGTACAAGTGTAAATTTAAAAATTACCTGGTTTGGTAGTTCAAACAAACGTGACCAATTAACATTGTCAATACTTGATTGTTGACCATTCTGATTATCTGTCCAAGTACAAAACTATGCTAACAATATAATACACATGAGCATATAGAAAGTACTTGAAAAGTTTCAGAGTGTTTGGGGTAGTCTGTCCTGTTCAATACGGCTCATAAGATAAAGGGGAAAGCAACACTATTATCGTGTTTAAATCACGACAAACAATAGTCACTACATACTTTCGTCCCTTTAATTTTTAGGCTTATACAATGTACAGAATAATATACCATTATAACTTTATCATACATTTCTTCATCTTTGGTGTGGAATAAAAGCAAAGGATATAATTACCTGCTTATATTTTACTTGTGTTTCAAGCAAGCATTTGGTGGGTTGAGAGGGGTTTACTGTAACGGCGGTTATAAACTTACATAGGCGGATCCAGGGTGGGGGCCTGGGGGGCCCGGGCCCCCCTTTCGTGGGAAAAATTTGGTTGATTATATAGGGAATCACTGAAGCATGACTGGGAGCGCCCCCCTTTTAGGTCAGTCAGCGGGCCCCCCTTATGAAAAGTTCTGGATCCGCCACTGACTTACCACCACCCACGTGCCACCACATCAGTGTCCTGCAGGCACTTGCCCGCAGGTGGTGTCAAAAGTTACATGTGCTTGTGTTTTTTCAAAGTTCATAAAATGTGGAACAAATGTCCTCAATTTCTCTATTCTATTTATAAGGGGAATATAAATATCAATGATCAGTGTTGGAGCTGGGACTATTGTATAATAGTCTCCATAATAGTCCCAGGTTGGAGGCATTAATGTCATTAATACCATTGTGAGGGTACTACTGGAAAGAAGTTGTTTAAGAATAGATCAACCAAGGATTTGTTTATTGGATCAACGGTGATAACATTTTAAAACTGTGATACCCAAACAACCTTGGTATGAAATACTGTACAGAAATTCCCAGTAACCGTTGGGCTTAACATTACATAAAAACTAAAGATTGTGCCATTGACGGATCCAGAAATTTTCATAAGGGGGCCACTGACTGCTAAAGAGGGGGCCTCCCTAGTCATGCATCAGTGATTCCCGATATAATAGATCAAATTTTTGCCACAAAAAGGGGAGGGGCAGGGTGCTCTAAATCCGCCTTTATGTGCAACACGAACCTCCAAAATACATGGGTGAACTCAAGTATTGTGAATGATAAAGTTAGGAACTTTCTGCTCAACATGTGGCAACCTAGGTTTGAGTATACATGTAATTGCCAACTTGAAATTAAGTAAGTAAAACTTTGATTTGATTCGCCATATTGGCAAACATGTGAAGATAAGATCTGGTGAGCTTTTCGTCGAATATCATGAGGAGATAGTGTTAAAAATATATGCATAGTTCATGAGTTGAAAATTATAAAACAAAATATATTGTTTAACCTTGGACAAAAAGATCAAGTCCAAAACTGGCTGTTATTTGTGTAGGCTACCTTAATCTTGAAGAGTATGCAATTCTAAATCAAGGAGGCGGTAGGCAATTTCCTAATAATATTACAAAAGAACTTGTCACAGATTCTTAACTAAACGTCTATCAGATTAGTAAAATTTCTAATTCACTGACATCTGTTGGACATAGATACTCAAATTGCAGAATCTTATTAGTAATAAAAAAAAAATCTGTGTTTTCTGTGACATCATTTTGAAAAATATATGTTTATATTTTATTTATTACACTCTAACTGTCTAACATTTAATTCTCCTCAGATTAGAATTTAGAGTAATTATCGTTTGTCAATTTTCCAAACTTCCCATGCCCCCCTCAGCAGAGTTATTTAATTCTGAATGGAACAAAATGTGAATGAGTTATAAATAATATATAAAATGATTGAATATTCTTTATTTAGTTTTTCTTTATTCTCAATTCTTCCAGAGACATGTATATGCTCTGAGAATAATGTCTTTGCATGATTCTTCATAATTAAGTATACTCAATTATTCTCTATGATCCTTCTTTCTATATTTTTGCTTTTCAACTATCTATATATTTTTTTTGTGTCCTTATTTAAATCCCCATTCTTGATTCCAGACTAACTCTCATATATATACGTAAATGTACGAAAGCTTGGCACGTCGAATACGGAAACCCGGAAATCTTTTCACCGTTGTCGTTTTTATACTATGACGCAAAATCCATGGACGCTCGTCTGCTGCTGAATTCATGTTTTAAAAGAATGGACAAAGATAGTCAGATAGTTGATACAAAGACCTTTGATTTTTCAAACTGATGGATCAAAAAGTTATTATAAACAGATATATTGAAATGGGTTAGTAACTTACATTGTCGATTAACTGAATCCGGGGAACGAAAGTCAACGCAACGAACAGGTCAGGAATAACCACCAATTGGTGGATTATACCTCAATTGACGTATAATCCACCAATTGACATATAATGGTATAGACCAATTGAAGTATAATTCTTTGTATTTCAAAGCAAACTATACAACCAAAATGGAGCATTGTTTTCTTATAACCATATTATGGTATGAAAACATGTCAAACATTCCTAGTTAAGTATAGTGACATAACATATTGCATTTAATCAATAATTGTATTTGCAGTTTCTTCTATTGTTATCTTGTCAATTCTTGATTGGTAAATTTTCCACTAATCACCGGTCAATGGACATCAATACTGTCTTCAGTCATGTGATTATGAGTACAACTCACCAGGTGAATGGAGCTCTTTGTTAATACTTGACTTTCATTATTAAAAGTCAATCATGGTCAATAGTACAGATGTTTTAACAAAAGAATTGTTATACACATGCATTCTCAAGTGATGCAGCAGGCTTTGACAAAACTGAAACTTTAGGAGGATTCAATAATGGTTATAAAATAGGTTGCAAGTTGCAAAATGATGCTCCTATCCCAGACTAGCGTTTTATTACAAAAAACTTGCATTATACGTCAATTGGTCTATACCAATATATGTCAATTGGTGGATTATACGTCAATTGAGGTATAGTCCACCAATTGGTGGTTATTCCTGACCTGACGAAAGTGTTTCGTTTTGATGGATTACGTACCAACTTATTGTACTTGGAAAGTGCAATGAAATGTAAATATAATCATGCGCATTTTTAGGAAGATGCTAGTGTTATACTTTTCACGAAAAACCATTTGACTTTGTCCTTGTCATGCATGTATAAACCCGAAAATCAGTCAAAGATTGGCAAAAACGGAAGCAAGTCAACTCGCCCCATTGCAATTGGCAAAACGCCCCATTATTTTAAAATCGCTCCACTCTTGTTTAGGGAGCTACCATTTGATTTTTATGGGAGAGGGGGCTTTGACGGAATTTGAAAAAATGCGGGACAGGAGTTTTGAGTAAAAAAATAAAAGCCAGGACCGAAAAGAATGAATAATAAACTGTCAGGACAGATATTACAACTAAAAACAATGCAGGATAACTGTTCATAACAATTTCATCCTACCACCCCCCCCCCCCCCCCCTCCCCCCCAAATCAAGTGGTAGCTCCCTTCATACCAACTTGCTTGCCCCACATCAAAAAAAAATCGCCCCACTTGTGAAAAGGATTAAATCCTGTTAAATATACAATGTACTCCTGCCAACCGTGGCAACTTGCCTAACTTGGGTAAAATCCAAATGAATATAATCATGATAATATATAATAAATATATTATAAACAGATAAAGGTCTACCAACTCACCCTACATGTACTTTAAAAAAATAAAAACTTATCTACCCAGAATTAAAAAAAAAAATTGAAATTTAATAATAATATATGATATTTATTGAATTTAAATGATGTTTCACTTCTTAAAATATAATTGTAGATTCATTATTTACTATTATTTAATTTATGTATTTATTGGAAAATAACTTTATTCTTGCATTAGCTTAGTTATTTGCAAAATAATTGCAAAGATCCTGTTAATTGTATCATAATCTATCTGATTGTTTTTTAGCCGACTCAAAATCATGCTGTTAATTAGGGCCCCCTGTTGTACATGTACTTAGGAATCGGACACCTCCAGAAGATGAAAGATCTAATTTACATGTACGTAATGTAAATATAAAAATAAGAAAATGTGGTATGATTGCCAATGAGAAAAGAGAGGAGTTGGTAAAAGTCCGTGAAATTTCACTTGTTTTCCAATCCTAATAAAACTGTCATATTGTAATGTTTAAATAACCTAATTATTTTCAAAATAAAATCTTGTTTACACTAATGAGAAAAGACAACTCTCCATCAGAGATCAAATGACATCAAAGTTAACAACTAGAGGTCACTGTACATCCTTCAACAATGAGCAAACCCCATACCATATAGTCAGCTATAAAAGAACCCAAATGAAAATGACAAATTTGTAAAATAATTCAAACAAGAAAACTAGCAGACTAATTTATATACAAAACAAAGAACAAAAAAACAAAATATGATACACAGCAACAAACGACAAACTGAACCACTGAATTACAGGCTCCTGACATGGGACAGGCACATACATACAAATATGTACAGGATGGGGTGGGGCTAGACTAGTAGTTTGTGGTGCCAAACCCACCTCCTAACCTGGTATATTGATGTGAAAAGGGCTTAACTTGTCAGATCTATACAAAGTAGAAAGACATCTAACAAAACCAAACACAAGACGTGGTGGGTACTTACACATCCCCACAACAAAAAAGACCAAGTTCAGATCTGAGAGTACTCCCAGTTACTAACACCTACATGTAGTTCAAAGCCAAAAACAAAGTACATTGTACATGTACAATGTATTTACCACCAAACCTTGCCTGGTTTAGTCCATTTCTCAGATACTACCTTATATAAAATAGTCCAACTTTTGGTGTAATTTAAACAACTTTGAATGACTTAAAATTTCAAAGTATCATGATTATTAATAACTTAATCCCCAAAGATTGGCATTATAAATCATGACAGATCCAGAGATCCTGTAATATATACTGTACATGTAATCACTTTTGTTCATCCCTTCATTCAAGGGTCATATGGAATTTATTTGATGGATTAGAACATTAATAAAATGATTAAATACTTTTTTGTAGTCATTTTTTTTTCAGGGAAAGTTTGTTGGTCTAGTTTTAAAAGATCAAAGCAAGCCAATTTTGCCAGATCAAAATATTAAAGGCAATTTTGGCAGATACATTGTATTATAACTTCATTTTATTAAACATTATTTATTTTAGCTTTTTCAACGAAAGTACAATTACTTTTAGAAGTAGGAGAAGCTAAGCAACAGGACAGAATTCATTTGAGACATTGCTTTCTAGATTATACAGTGGAGTCATAGATTGTCCTATTGATTTATGTGGATATGAGGAGCAGTAGTCAATGAATAATTTTGTGATGAGAGGTATGTAATGAAAATGATAACTATGTTTGAATAATTTTTTCTTGTCAGGCTCTGTACATGCAGTTTCGAAGATTTTTTAAAAGTTTGAGGTCAAAGAGTTTAAAGTTTGATTCTTGTAATGTTGTGGGCAAGTTCGAAAATTATCCATGTTAGAAGTGACAAATTTATTTTTTTTACAGGTCATTTTTATAGAAAATTGCATTCAAAGCTCTCTCAATCGCTTGTTCTTTTTTGTCTAGCCACAACAGCTATGAAGCTGTGACTTAGGCATGCTGTTTTCAATAGAGGCATAGTCGTAAAAAAATTGTTGATATTCATGATGAGGTCAGTTTAAGGAAACCAAGAAATAAAACCTTTGCACCTTTTGTTGGCGGTATACCATCTTTTCCGCAAGTTCATTGTTTTCTGTTTAGTATTAAATTTATAATTAAGATTTATTATTACATCGGTGATCCGTTTATTTGGCAATTTATACAGGAATAATGTCACTTTGAAATGTATGAGTTAGAAAGTAAGTGCTATTAAAATTTAGGTTTACAGAAGTTATTCTGTGGAAATATATATTGTTTAATGTAATGAAAATTGCATTGCAAGCAATCCCAAACAGGTCTACATTTCTTTTAGATTATTTATGAAAATGTTTAAAAGAACAACCATATTGTATACTACAGCAAAAAAGTTTTGAGGTCGTATATTGCTATCAACTAGTTCGAAGACATTTGGTTTCCGGACAATAACTTCAGTTTAAGTGTATGAATGTCTATGAAATTAGATTTAAAGGTTCAATACCACAAAAGGAAGGTTGGGATTATTTTTGGCGTCATGGTTCAACCAGTGTAGGAATTAGGGGCCAAAAAAGGCCCAAATCAAGCATTTTTCTAAATTCAGGACAATAACTTGTTTATAAGTACATGTATTTTGATTGCTATGAAATTGTACCACAAGTAGAAGGTTAAGTTTCATTTTGGGGGTATTTGCCCAAACCATTCAGGAATTAGAGACCAAAAAGGGTCTAAAACAAGCATTGTCAGACTGGCCTATATTATTAATTGATCATGATAAGTTGTTCTCGTTTAGAATACATAAAATATTTGCCTCTGGACATTAAAATAAGAAAAAAAGTCAATCAATTTATGTTTTTGCATTATCAGAATGAATTTGCAAATATATAACAATTAAATTATGTTGTATCCTTGGAGCTTTTTCAATGACCTAGCATATAAATATAAAAAGATGAGGTATGATCCTCAATGTGACAACTATCAATTAATAGACCAAAGGACAAAGATGTAAACATTTACTGGTCAATGTACAGCCTTAAACAATGAACAAAATCAATACCATAAAGTAACCTACAAGGATGAAAAATATAAACTACATACAGTAATGGCAGACAGCAAACAACATAAGAACCAACTTTCAAAATTAGCCAAAAAGGACTGGATTCATCAATAGGTCTTACAATAAAAAAGGTGCAAAAAACATGTTTTCCCAAACTAAAATATCTATCAGTTTACATTCAACAGATTTTGTGTAACAATGTTTCACAGTTTGTCATTTTATGCAGTCTTAAGAAAAGTATGACTGTGTAATGCCAAAATATCGAAAGGGTATAAAACCTATTTTTCAATGCAAGTATGCAAGGATGTACAGACAGACAAGTGTAAAACTTGATGCCCCCTCCGTTACGACAAGGGCATGAAAAAGAGATGCACAATGGGACTATGTCGGAAGTTTTAATAAATTATGAATTACATGTTTATGCAGAAAAAACACATACAAATGTGTGTTCTTGTGTGCAGATATAACTAATTCCATGTCAAAATTCCATGTATGTTTGACAAAGTTGTTGATATCCAAAAAACATTAAAAAACTTTAGATGGGGATTTTCCAGTTTTGGGACAATAACTCAAAATGTGTTCACCAAATGGCAAGAAACTTTTGTGACTTGTTTGTATCTATTGACATGAGCTCCCTTTCGATTTTTATAAATTTAAGATTTTATGTTTCCAAGTTGTGGGGTTATATTCATTTAAAAAAGGGAGATTTTCCAGTTTTCAGACAATAACTCAAAAATGCTTACAGCAGTTTTCATAAAACTTTGGTGAATTGTTTATATTTATTGTCATAAGCTCCCTTTTGGTTTTTATTAATTTTAGATTTTATATTTCAGAGTTATGTGATTTTATTCATAAAAAAGGGGGATTTTCATATTTCAGACAATGCTTTGAGCAGTTATCATGAAACTTTGGTGACTGGTTTATATCTATTAAGATAACCTCCCTTTAGTTTTTCATGAATGTCTGATTATGACATTGAAAAGTTATTGAACTTTATTCTTTGAATAAGCGATTGGTGTATCATGTGCTCATGGTGCAGCTGTCTATTTATTTTGGGCCAGGTTTTCAAATTGGTCTACATGCAGGGGTTAAAATTTGCATTAAAAAATGAAAGGTCCTGGACTATTTGAAATTTTCAGTCCAGTGAAAGGTCCTCCATTTTTTTTGTCAACATTGAAACCACTCTGAAGCGTACGAAAGGTATAAATAAAATGTACTTCTAGAATTTTATGTTTGACATCATGAGTACGCATATCACGTCACATTGTTTAGTTGCTAAAGACAATGCAAAATATTTGTTAAATGGTATTTATTTTAATATGCTGCATTAGAAAGTAGATAACTGTATTGTATTTTAAGCTTGGCCTTCATTAAACTTGATTTTACCATAGGCGGATCCAGGGGGTCGGCCCCCCTTTTGTGGTAAAAATTTGGTTGATTATATAGGGAATCACTGAAGCATGACTGGAGTGGCCCCCTCCCTTTAGTTATAAAAAGTTCTGGATCCGCCACTGTTTACTGTCACATCACTAGGTAAATACAGAATTCTCCTAAATGGATAAGCTAATTGTTTGCAAAACTCTTTGAATACTTATTATAGTCTTGCATCCACATGCTATTAATAAAGTACTGTTTTCTCCCTTTCAGTTGTACATTGTATTACAACAAATGGACAGAGGAGTTGACTATTGATAGTGACTGATAATGGACTGGAGTAACCTAGGGTCCAATGACTCCATGCCTGACAGTCCATGTGTACATGTATGTCAACAGCCAATTCTAAGTAACCTTAAACATATATATACAAAAGACCTAAAATAATAGTATGTGCATCTATGGGAGACTTATATGTCACTGTTATCACACAGTGTTGTGTGGCTTCATTACTGATTAGAGACTAATCAGATTATCCTTTACTTTAAGTTCAAATATAATGTACATGTACTCAATGATTATGACTTGCCTTCATTAACTTGTAATAATTATGATGCAGGATCCAACAAAAGTTTTTTTTTTTTACCTACATTTTATGCATCAGTCTCGCTGATTTTTTAAGTACCTTGTAAATGTATATGGATATATGTATGAATTTAGTTGTAATACTTAGTTTTGAGCCTTGCACATATATACATCATTGTACATTGTCATAGAAGTTAAAATTACTTTGATCGCTGTCAGACAATGACAGAGTGTTTTGAAAATTGCTTCATAATGTCGATCAGATTACCTTATTTAATTAATAAAATGTTATTGTCACAGATTGAAATTTTTAGTATTTTATAAATAAGGTCTTACAATGTATGGTAGGATTGTCAATGAGAAAACATTCCATTAGTCAAAGAGGATGTAAAAAAATTTAGGTCACTGTATGACTTTCAACAATGAACAAAACCATACTACTAGTATATAGTCAGCTGTAAAAGATCCTGACAAAGTGAGCAACAATCCAATCCAGAAAACTAGTGATGTTCCAATTACTGTGGATTCATTTATTTTCTTGGGTATCAATTTTCGTGGATAGAGAAAAAAAGACGTTTCGTGGTAAACGTAAATTCGTGGATCGCTGATTGAAAAAAAAGATAAATTCAGATACGTAATTCGTGAATTTCTGTTTGATTTAGGATGTCATATAACCTCCTTGGTTTGATCAATAATAAAACAAAAAAGAAGGAATTCATTGAAAAAGTTTAAATTATCAAAATCATCGCTTGGTCATCCTAGGTTAAAGTGTTCATTGAAAACTTCGATTAAAATCGTGGACAGAGACAACTTATTATATGTTTGTTTTACAATTTATAAATTTTTGTCGGTAATTTTATGAGGCATTCAAATCTCTATGATTGATATATGATTGAAAGCTTATTTCCCTAATCACAGTATAATAAACAGTCATATAAGTAAAAGGTGTGAAAATAAATGTTCCTGTCGTAAACAATATTACCTACGGGCAATATCCCCATACTTCATCCTATTGATTTTTAATCACCAGTAATCCAAACTATGACACGGTAATTAACAACTTACAGTTATTTTCCATGAACAGTTTTAATCAATTTTAAAAAGTAGTTTTTCACTAATATTCGATTTTTTTTATTATTGATTTAATCAAAATACTTTTATCTTCTTTCAATAGAAACACGTGTTATGTTGCAAAGTTTATCGCTAGTCAACACTATACGATAACTGCATAACATAACTGGAAATAAACATCCGACTCCAAACACATTTTTCGGGATTATTCTTCGTTGAATTCTTAAATTCGTGGTTCACTGTGACCCACGAAACCCACGAAAATTGGTATACCACGAATAAAAATGAATCCACAGTACCATGTGCAGTATTGGTTATAATATAAAAATATCACTTGTTTTCTCTCTCTGCCAAGGGATAACTGTATTCCTAATTTATTTTTATTGGAAGCAGACTGCATCAGGTTAAGATTTTATATGATAATCACAGGAATTTTAATTTTCAGAATTAGCTCCTCAGATGTAAGTGGAAGGGAAGCTATAAACATTATATGTTTAAATGAAATTAACAACAGGATTAGATATTGAGGAGATCCTATAGCTACAGTATATATAAATGTAACTGGTATGTATTTGTTACAGTATTTAATTTCCAAATGGTATAACAAAAATACTGAATTCCAAGGCAATTTCAAAAAAATCGTAAGGGTTCCGCAGAACCCAGTGTCTCGCCTACTTTTGCTGTTAATTGCATCATTTTCTCATCACTTGGCGTCCGTCATCGTCCGTTAACTTTTACAAAAATCTTCTCTGAAACTATTGGGCCAAATAAAACAAAACTTGGCCTAAATCATCCTTAGGGTATCTAGTTTAAAAAATGTATCCGTTGACCCTGGCCATCAACCAAGATGGCCAATATTGCTAAAAATAGAACATGGGGGTAAAATGCAGTTTTTGACTTCTATCTTTGAAACCAAAGCATTTAGAGCAAATCTGACATGGGGTAAAAATGTTCATCAGGTGAATATCTATCTCTGATGAATTTTCAGACGCATCAGACAACCCGTTGTTGGGTTGCTGCCCCTGAATTGGTAATTTTAAGAATTTTTTTTTCAATTTTTATACGACCACAAAAAATTATTGGTATCACGTTGTCGTCGTCGTCGCCCAAAGACACTTGGTTTCCGGACAATAACTTTAGTATTAGTAAATAGAAATCTATGAAATTTAAACATAAGGTTTATAACCACAAAAGGAAGGTTGGGATTGATTTTGGGGGTTATGGTCCCAACAGTTTAGGAATAAGGGGCCCAAATAAACATTTTTCTAGTTTCATGACAATAACTTGTGGAACAGTGTATGGATCTCTCTGAAATTATACTACAAGTTTCCATACCACAAAGGGATGGTTAGGATTGGCTTTGGGGGTTTATGGCTCAAACCATTTAGGAATTGGGGGCAAAAAAGTGAGAAAAAACAAGGGTGTCCTGGTTAATGGACAATTAAGTACAAATTACAATGTAAGGGAGGTAATTCAAATACATCTTGGAAATTTGAATTGTAATTATGACCATAACTGAGGGAAAGATTTTTTTTTTTGGAAAAAGGGGGGGGGGGGGGGGGGGGACAATTTTTTCTCCTCAAGATTTCAGAAAGCAAAATCAAAAAGAAAATCCTTCAATTTTTTTTTTTTAAAAGGGGATGGAGGTCAATTCGCAACAGCATAGTGTATTACACAAAAGCAAAATTTTGAATATAAATTCAAATCATATAACCAATTCTAAGTTCTTTGACTACAGTTATTCTGTGTCAGAAACCTATTATGTTTCAAATATTGAATTGCAATCCAAATTCAGACCTGTATCAAGTGCGAATATTGTGTCCATATTTGCCCCAACTGTTCAGGGTTGGACCTCTGTGGTCATATCCAGCTGCGCTCGGCAAAGCAATTTATTGGTTATTATCTTGAACATTATAATAGAGATAAACTGTAAACAGCAATAATGTTCAGCAAAATAAGATTCACAAATAAGTCAACAGGATCAAAATGGTCAATTGACCCCATAAGGAGTTATTGCACTTTAAAGTCAAATTTAACAATTTTTTTCGTAAATTTTTGTAATCTTTTACAAAAGTCTTTTCCTGAAACAACTGAGACAAATTTAACCAAACTTGGCCATAATAAGCATTAGGGTATCTAGTTTAAAAATAGAACATAGGGGGGAAAATGCAGTTTTTGACTTATATCTTTGAAACTAAAGCAAAAGTATATCGATTGCATTATTTCATGCATCAATTATAAAATTAAAAAAATATCAGGTGAGCGACACAGGCTCCTTGGAGCTTTTAGTTGGTATTGTAATTTAAATGAGGTTAAGACATGTAAGAAAGGGGCTTGAAAAATGAGGAATTGTGTTTCTACAAGCACTTAGTAATCTAGATCTATAATACTAAAATAACAAGGTCCAATTTGTTAGCCGGCATGACATAAAAATGACGATTCAAAGAATTCAACTTTATTTATAACTTATATATATAGGACAATGGTGTTGATTAAAAATTACACCATTCCAGGCCCATTTGTTTTCCACATAATTATTACTACAGATAATTAACAAGTTCTGGGTCGAAGGGTTCAAAAAGAAAGATTTTGAAAGCAGAGAAAACTGTGCACCTAATGACCAGCATGACATTATTAGATGACAAAACGAAAAATCTTAAAATTCAGGCTAAAAATAAGGCTAAGGTACTTTACTTCAGTCACAACACCATGATGTCCCGGAGTATTCTAGTATATATTATATATACAGGTAATGTGTAGTACACATGCATGAATAGAGTTAGTTTTCATTATTGTGGTAATTTATGTTGATAAAAATGAGAATATGTAGTATTATTGCCAATGAGACAACTATCCACCAGAGTCCAAATGACTGAATGTTAGCAACTATAGCTCACTGTATGAACAGCTTTCAACAATGAGCAAAACTGATACTGCATCTTGCAAGCTATAAAAGGTCCTGAAATTACAGATGTAATACAATTCCAATTTACGTAAAAGACATTAAACGAAAAATAAATATGATAAACAACAACTATTATATTCCACTCCAGTTGTTCACACGATATATATATATATATGTGTAAGTTTGGTAAATCATTGGAGATTAAATTGATGTTATCATTTTTTGCCTGATTGGTTATCCAATATTTGATGTATGTTTTACAAAAAATATATGCTGTTTTTGTCTCGCTTGACGGAGTAAAAAAGCGAGGCATAGGTATGCTGTTTCTGGCGTTGGTGACGACAGCAGCGTCAACAATGTATTAGTTTGTGATTAGGTCTAGTTTATAGTGAACCACAAGTAGTAAGTCGAAGATATTTGGTATGCAGTTGTATTAGTATTGGCACATCTCATTACCATGGAGATTATTTGGCCCCGCCCCCTCAGTTATGGTTTATTGACTTAATTTGAAATTCTTGCTTAGTCTTCATGTATTAGTTTGTGATTAGGTCAGTTTATGGAGAACCACTAGTGGTAAATTAATTATGATTGGTATGCAGTTGTATAAGCATTGGCATATCTCATTTCCATGGAGATTATTTGGCCCCACCCTCTCAGTCATGGTCTATTGACTTTTAAATTTTTGCTTAGTTTTCATGTATTAGTTTGTGACTAGGGCAGTTTATGGGGAACCACTAGTGGTAAGTTCATGATAATTGGTATGCAGTTAAATACGCACTGGCATATCTCATTTCCATGAAGATTATTTGGCCCTGCCCCCTCAGTCATGGTCTATTGACTTCGAAACTTTTGCTTAGTTTTCATGTATTAGTTTTTGATTAGGTCGGCTTATGGGAAATCACTAGTGGTAAGTCAATGATATTTGGTATGCAGTTGTATTAGCATTGGCACATCTCATTACCATGGAGATTATTCCCCCCCCCCCCTCAGTTATTGTTTATTGACTTTAAAATTTTCTTAGTTTACATGTATTAGTTTGTGTTTAGGTTTTTTAAAGGGAACTACTTATGATAAGTCAATGGTATTTGGTATGCGTTGTATTAGCATTGGCACATCTAATTTCCATGGAGATTGTTTAGCCATGTACCTTTAGTCATGGTTCATTGACTTTGAATATTTGCAAATCTTACATGTTAAAGTGTTGCTATTTTAATTTCAACATTTGCATTATCGAAATTACTAAAAAGCGAGACATATCTCTGTGATTACAGTTTATTTTTTTATTACAGCAACTGTATTCCAAGAGTCTGATGGCTGATAATGTATTACAGGATTTTATCATTCAAGCAACATCTTAGAAGGATAAGTGCAAATGTATGAAGGAAGCCTTGGGTACAAATAGCAATTACAGCAATTACATGCAGGAGAGAACTCTTAACATTACTAACAGACATGTAGTCATTATATGGGAGTGGTGTATTCAAGAAATCTAAAACACATGGAATTAAATATCGTGTATATTTTTTAAACCACAAGTACTCTCAGAATATAATACAATTCAAATTCAAATTATTGTGCCAACATGACAATTACAGTCTAAAAATGGAAAATGCATGTTTTAAACTGATTTTTATATAAATATTTGAAATAACAAGAATTTTTAGTTTATTGTGCAGCCAAACTTTGAGATCTTCTAATGGTATATGCCTGTTGTTTGTCAACATTTGTTTTCTTTTTTCCTTAACCTTAAGATTGGTGTTAAAATGAAAAACTGAAATAGATATATGAAATAAGAAGGAAATGGTTGTAAATAACAGCAAGACTTTCAATATGGTATATCAAAATATATTTCACAGAACTTTCTATTTCAGTTTATTAATACAATGAGATATGAGGTATAAATAAATCAGACAGCTACACAACAAAAACACATGAAAGGCATTAAGGTGCTAGCATACAGTCCTCAACAATGTACAGGTGTCTAAACAATGTCATGATCTACTTAATTAACCAGAGTCTATACCAATCAAAGAGCTGCCATCAACACCAAATTCTTTAAATATTTTTTTTTATTAGGATGAGACTTAGACAACCACTGAAAAGGTTCCTGGCTTGAAACAGGCACAGGAATATGTGGCAGGGTGAAATACTTTTTTTCTTCAAAACTTTCAAAAGAAAAATTGGCATCTTTTGCAAGTAAGACTATTTCCATAATGGGATTGGATTGTCTCATGGCTGATAACCACAAAATGACTTGTACATACATATTAAAAATGAAATATACATTAGTGCATACATATTCTATAAATGAATCACCAATCCTTACATGACTTTTAAAAAAAGTATTGAGACTTGAACATAACCGAAAAAATTCTAGGAGTGAAATAAGGTGACCTGGATATTTGCTTGCCTTCTTTGTTTTATTGCATCTTATCTCTTGCATTGGAGATATTGTGAGTTGGGAGTTGATAGATAAATATTTTTTGTATTGTTTAGAATCAAGAAAGTAAAATATAATGGAAGTATGAACACATAGTCAAGACCAAGAAGAATATTTATATATCAAAATAGAATGTGTACTAGATTAGCATTAACTTATCTAAAATATGCTCAAATACTGTGAATTTGTGTGATTGATGCTCAATTCACCTTAATTTCATTTTGCCTGTGTATATATAGAGAAAACACATGTATAACGCATGTGTTAGAAAAATGTGTTAGAAATTGCATGTAATTCACATGAGAACTGAGAAACATGTCAACAATCATGGTAATTGGACAAACAGGAGGACATTTTGAAAAATATTTAATACAGGCACCATGCCTTTTACATGTAGTAATCACGCATGTATCACAGGTGTATTTCCTTACGCATGTGATTCACATGTGAAACGCATGATCACATGTGTGTATCATGCGTATCACATGTGTTTTTCACACATGTGTCACATGCGTGGCATGAAACGTCTCTTTCACATGCGTGTGACACACATGTGAAACGCATGTGTCACGCATGTACACATGTGTGGCATTTTTGCCAGTGTAGTGGGATCCCTCAAGGGTCAGTCCTGGGTCCTATACAATTTGTCATTTTTATCAACGACTTACCAGAAAGTGTGATATCAGAGGTTTTCCTATTTGCTGATGATACTAAGCTGTTCAGAGAGATTAAATCAGAGAATGATGTTAGCCTACTACAGCATGACTAGGACAATGTGTTCGATTGGAGTGTTGAATGGGTGCTACGCTTCCATCCTGATAAATGTAAGATGCTGAAAATTTATAATAAGCGGAAAAAAGTTGACACATATAGTTATAAAATGAAAAAGTATGATGGTGGTACGACAGCATTGGATGTGATACATAAAGAAAAAGATATTGGAGTAAACATAGATAGTCATCTGGCGTTTGATAAACATATACAAATTCAAGTAAATAAGGCAAACCAATTAGTCATTTAAATCATTAGATTACAAATCTTTCTGTCTGTAATTTAAGGCGCTGGTAAGACCACACTTAGAATATGCCAATAGTGTATGGAATCCATATAAAGTAAAAGACATTGAATCATTAGAAAATGTCCAGAGACGAGCTACCAAAATGCTACCATACTCAAATGACAAAAGTTACAAAGAAAGACTACAAGTACTGAAATTGACAACACTGAAGTTTAGACGAATGCGTTGGGACATGATAGAAGCTTTTAAAATACTGGCTGAAATATACGATAGTAAAGCGACTACCGACCTGTTTACTTTAAACAACAGTACAACCAGAGGGCATAAATTTAGAACTAACAAACAAAGATGCAAATTAGATGTGCGTAAACACTTCTTCACCAACAGAATAGTAGACACATGGAACAGCTTGCCAGAACACATTGTAACAACCACTAAAGTGAAACATTTGAAAACAGACTAGACACTTACTGGAAAGATCATCCTATGAAATTAGACTATACAATTGATTATGGACAACACACAATTAGAGTAACCGGAAAAGAAGACACTACAGTAGAAGAAACGATAGAGATGAACATAGAGGAACAGCAGCTCCTGCGTTCATAACGAACGTAGGTAAACGTAGGTAGGTACCAGTGTTGGGTAGACAGTTATTACTACATGGGAATATTTCCCGCTCTTTAATACATGAACATGTATACATTTTTTACATGTGATTAATCAAATGATTAATCAGACGGAACGTTAGTACAATAATTTTCCTCTATACTGTGAAAAGCGGAAAATTAAAATGATACATTGCATTGTGGTTTATTGTTAAAAGAATTATTGTTGTAATGAGGGTTGTTAGCAATAAATAGATCTATATACTCAATCAATATACGTTGCCTTGACCTTACTTTCATAATTTAGTTGTCTTCTAATTTTTTTATGATTAGGTATATTTCAAAAATTATGTATACATTTTGAGTTAAAATTATGTTCAATTTAAAGTCATAAATATGAGCATGTGGTGGCACCTGATATATTCTATTAGATCATTGAATTGATCTCAGTTCGAAAAAGTATTTGATTGTGTACACGTCCCACGATGCCAGGGTTCCTTCAAATCTCAGGGGATGAAATACATTCAGAATCATCAACATTACCCTTAAAAGTACATATCAACATAAACGATATATGTCAACAACACACAGGAAGTTTATATATGCATTTTATATCTAATAGATTTAATTCAAGATCTTTTCCTTTTCCGACTTCCGAGATGTATAATAATCGACTTAAGACGACAACGGTATGTACCAGTTAAAAAGATTCACTTACAAGTGTTTTTTAATCAAGTATGTAGAATCTTAGTTTTGTTGAATATTTATTGGCTGTTTGATGGTTACACACTGTTTCCAATTTTTCCAAATCTCCCTCTCTCTCTCTCTCTCCTTAATATACTCTTTCAAAACTGTTGCTGTTTTCATATCCTTATGTGCAGATTTGTACCTTTCTCCTTATAATACAAATTTCAAACAGGCGCTTCTCAAGAAAATAAAAGGCTGACATTATCCTTTAGTCTCGTGTTCTGCTAGAAATATGATGTCCTTTCACTGAATAATTCAAAGTTTTATTAACATATAGAATAAGAAGATGTGGTATGATTTCCAATGAGATAGTTCTCCACAAGAGACCACCGTAGGGCCTTCACCAATGACCAAAAAACATACCGCATAGTAAGCTATAAAAGGCCCCGAAATGACAAATGTAAAACGTTTCAAACGTGAAAACTAACGGCCTGATTTATAATGATTGCATCTATTCCAGTGAACTGGAAAGGATACCATAGATACAGTGAAATATGCGTCATATCTTGACTAACATCTAGACCTTGATAATGAGGGAAGTCGGTCTAGACCTAATAATTAAAAGTTTAACGACAAAAGAGAATTTTAAAGTTATCTTATTATGCACTTTAAATTTCGGTGTAGCATTACTCCAGCGCCGCATGCACAGATAGTGTATATCTCCAAGTTGATACGATATTCGAGGGCTTGTGTTTCTTATCATGATTTCCGTAATAGTCATACATTGAGAGATAGGTGTGTCTGGATAAGAAACCCCGATGGCCGGAGGCCGGAGGTGTTTCTTAATCTTACACCCCAGTTCTATTGTTATATTTCGTAGTTTCTATTTCTGAAACAAGTGTAAATTGAATAGATCTATTGTTACGAATAACAATGGATTTTGGAAACCCCTGCTTCTACTATTTTTTCAATAGCATGAACAGAGGTGATTACTAATAGTGTTCACTACAAATTGTCTCAAGACATATTTAAAACCATACTTCAGGAAATCCCAATAGTGAAAAAAAGACATGTGAAGAAATAGAATTAAAGTAAATGCAAAGACTTTTTACAAGTCCCACTCCAATTTTTACATTTTTTCAAAGTAATCCCCCCCCTCAAAATGTAATAGATAATTTGTTCTTCAAGTGAGCTATCAATGTTAATTGTTTGTAAAGTTTGTATAAAGTGAGCTATCAACGTTAACGTTAGATTTACAAAATTGTTTGATTAAGGAGAAGGTAAACATATATTTTCTGTACACTCTGCTTGTAACTTGTAAAAAGAAGTAATTAAATCATCTGTTTGCGTATTTCATTTCATTCGTTTTTAGATTCAAAACATTAATATTCATTTAACCCGGCTTAGGCAATTTAATTGATTAAACAAGGTAGCTATTGCAATCGATGACATACATGTATGCTTAAGATAGGCAATAAATATGTTTGTGCGCAGCCAGACTTGTTAAACCCACCACAAGTTATTCCTTTACCAATACAGGCTATCAAGACCATGTGTTGTTCGTTGATAATTGTTCTGTGTGTCTGGTTTTTAATTTCAATTCTTTTTATCGGAAGAGTCGGATATTGAAGGTTAATGTGATCTTAATATTTACTTTATGGTATTTTAATCGATTCCTATTGTCATCCCTTTTATGTATTACGTGACAAGAATAAAACTACAACGTTTCCTCATTGTAACAAAAGTGATTCATTTATAAGTGTGATATTTTTATATTATATTTCGAGTTCCTTCTTTGAGGAAGTACCGTTTGTAAAATCGATTTCATCTTTCACATTTTCATAAGTTGACCAATATAAGGGAAAAAATTCAATCAAACGTGATAACATTTTGTAGTACACTAT